CAACACAATGTACTAAGTACTCGTTCAATGCATGATATATTTCTCTTAGCTTTTTTTCTTTGGCATTCATATTTGATTATACGCTTCTTTATAATCTCATTATCAATGCATTTCATTGATTTTTAATTAAGTGATTAATCGTTATTATGTACGCGGAACACTAAACGAGAATTAAAATATCAGACACTATATAAATAATTCACTTTACGTTTAATACATTTTTCATATTGATTTCACAATCTCTATTTATTACATTATCTATCGCCTATAGTGACTATATACATACTATTATGAAAAGTAATTATTTTGATCTCATTTTCCTTTCGAATTCCAATAAGTTCACTAATACGTCTACAATTAACGATAATTCATTTTCTATCCCTGTGCAAGTGGAGGACGAGCGTGCTAAGAGGCATTAGTATAAATAGGTAATAATTTGGAATTGAAAATTGATCATTAATTGTGGAACCATTCTCGAATCGAACGTGCAAACAGTTTTGGGGGACATGTAGACAGCAGGTTTTTCTACTATATAAGCTATAGGTGGAAATATAAAAAAGTTGTTGGTGTTTTTCGAGCTTGTCTACTAGTTGTACTTGAGCTTGACTTGTGTGCTTTTCTACGCCACATCATAAAATTATAAGAAAAGGACGAAACTTGCATGCAAGACTAAGAAAAATGAAAAGCCGTGAATAACAAGGTGTACTCTCCTTTAACGTAGTGAACTAATCTGATATGCTTTGTGGAAATAATTTTGATCTTCAAAGGGTAGAAAATATTTCTTAGTAAATTTCTGCCTAATTTCGTTAGTTTTATTTTAATTCACTCTGGCCACGGTATTCGACAGACTGACCATGGTCCGCACAGTTGAGGCTCTTATTAGATTTTGGAAAGTAGGGAGTAGTAGCTAACAAGAATCGAGCTTGGGCCATTCGTATGAGAGCCGAACATTCTATAGCAGCGCAAATAAAAACTTAATGCAATCTCATCCAACATAACCAGAAACGTAATTCCTGCGCATACGAGCTACTATGAGAATTGTTCAACAGATATCCCAAATTTCTGCATTATTCTTCTTCTTTACATAGTTTTCGACAAATAAAATCAAAATCAATTTGATTTGAAAAATTGAAATTTCTGCTAAAATTTACGGACGCATATAATGCCATGCGAAAGTATTGATTTTACTTGTCATTAAACGATATTTTACGTTTTACTTTTAAAGCTTAAAGACAAGTTTTTATGCTATAACTAATTCTACCGGACTAACGTAAAGCTAAATTGTTGTTTATAAAATGCGATAAATAAAAAGTATCTTGTTACTTAAGAATTCAATTACTATAAACACACAATCACAAAAATCGAAGAATATAAGTGCAGTAAGTTTGCTTGCCTCGTTGTAACGGAATCTTGCAAAATGTAACTGACTTCAACGGTAAATTCGGTAAAACCGTAAACAAGTTTATAAATTTTGATAATAGATATCGTTTCAATTTGTATGTAAATGTTATCGTTAATAAACCGAAAAGTATGGTAGATGATAGTCGTAACAAAATGATTTCAGCTGGTCGTGAATACACTTCAATAGTTCGGTCACCTAATGACTTATCAATGCTATAATGACTCAATTGGATAAATTAAGCCTGTCGATAAGCGCTTTCTTCTTCTTATTCCTTATTCCTTTCATCTTACTGCTTACGCTAATTAATCTTAGCTGGTATCCCATGCACCCTTTGCAACTTTGTAAACTTACGCTTACATTAATTGAGTTTACGAAACGATATTAATATTAATGTGCCTTGTCGCGTAACTTGTTAATTGTCGTTCATTAAGCTTAATCAATATACACTCAACTATTAGTTATTTAATTCCTTACGAGTTGTTTACAATGACATTGATGACGATTATCATTGAATATCGAACAATATAAGCAAGTAGCTTCTTCTTCTTCTTCTTCTGTTATTCAGCAAATCAATAACCGCAAATTTTTTGAGATATGTAAGAAAGGCCCAATATGAGCATAGAGTTCTTTGAGCCTCAGATTTGATATATACGTACGTCCGTCACGTAAAGATAGAACAAAACAGTGGGGTGTAAATTCCGTTGTGTAAGAAGTGATGTAGTACCTGACTATAAAGTGTCATATGAAGGAATTGATGAGTGTGCGGGTTAATCAAAGAGCTTGAATAAATGGTTGCCAAACGTTTCGACTTCGCGCCCATCTGGTGATGCGATTCTATTCTGTAGCCATAAAGCTTTTTAATTACGGATTACGGATGTCCGCCTATTTTGACTTGTTTTAGCTTTTTTTATTTTTTTCCTTTAGTTTTTATTTGTTCATTTGTATGGGTTTAATGTAAGGTGTTTTTTTTTTTCATTTTTGTTTTTTTTTTGTCTACCTTCAGTTAGTTTAGCATACTTTTGGAGTAACCTTTATACTTTAAGCCTTAGATTAGTTTGTAGCTGGTTGGTAGAAATTGTAGCTGAGGTATACATATATATGTATATAGAAATAAATGTAAAATATATAATATAAAAAGTAAATACAAGTCTGTCATCAACTTGTGCAAAACTACAACAAATTACTTGATAAAAAGATTTTTTGCCATTAAAAAATCGCAAAGCTTTGAAACTTTAGATCAAAACTTTTAAAAGTTACTTATAGGTTTTTAGCAATATTTTATATATTTCAATATTTGTCTTTCAAGAATTTACAGTTTTTGAACAATATCTGCAAAGTTTGCTGGTGAGTCGTACGCATTTTTAAATAAGTTGAGGAAACTGGGGAGAATTCGAGAGAGAGAGAGAGTGTCAAAAGAAATTCGAAAGATATTTTCGCACGGATTCGTGCGGTGTTCACAACAAAATACAGTACATTTTCTAATTTAGACTGAGTCCGTTTCCAAGTCCAGCTATAAAATATCTTAATTTTGGCTATTTAATGAAGATCTGCTAGGGCCTTACAGAGCCCAGTTAAGGCATATGGTAGATGTCTTTGCTATATATTTTTCGAATTTATCTTCAAATCCTTAAAGTCGAACTTGCATCGGACAGACAACAAACATAAACATATTTTTTCGAAAGCTCTGCAAAAATGATCATGGGTTCCTTGACCTAAATGAAGTAACGATAGTAAAGTATATCCATCCATAGATGGAGGAAAAATAATTTGCATAATTGCATTGGGAAAACAAGTCCGCAAGGGTAATACATGAAGCAAGCAAATAAATGCTTTGACAATGCACTGATAATAAATTCAAATCCTTCCTTTAATAATGTGTCCAATAAATTTTGCACTCCTCTATGTTTATGATCAGTTTCTTCGATTCATGACAAAGCAGGTGATTGACTACATTTTCTTAAAAAATTCTAAAAGAATCAACTGCGAATACAAAAAAAAAAAAAAATCAAACCAGTTCGGAGATCATTGAAAAATCCATTTAATATCATTTGAATTTTCAATTTACTTGTCGCTGGTATTAACGCATTGCAAAATATTTTATAAGCAAAAATATTAAAAACAACTTATGCAAAATAAAACGCGACACTTTCTACTTTGAATGAGTAGACATGATATTAAAGACTTACCTTTTAATTTTTATATACAGTAAGGTCTCTTCTTAGGTAACACCTGCTTTCGGATTAAATTCGCCTAAAGCATGTCCAAAAAGATAGTCTTAAGATTGAAAATGCGTTCTTTCAGTGCGAGTTGGAAGATATGATATTTTTGAATATTTAAAAAGTTCGTAAGAAAATCTCATCAATAAAACTAACATGCGAGAAAAATAAAATCACCTTGTTGGGAATCTCTTCTTCACAGTCTATGATAATTTGAGATTTTGCAAGCAGTAGACTTTCTCAAAATTCAGAAAATCTACCAATAAGAGTAACTTTGTTATTAGATTCTTGCATGTATTTTGATAATTTTATCATTTGAAAAATGCATTCATTGAGAAATATTGATACAATGTATAATAATAATAGAAGTAATATAAAGATCAATTGCTAGGTTATTCGAAAATGCTTTGGGGGTATGTATTGGATATTCGTTCAATAAATCTTGCAATTCATTGTCTTTGAACTTTGATAATTCTATTAACTACTACACTAACAGGCAATAAGAATTTAGATAATCCGTCTGAGTGGCCGAGTAGACAAGAGTCTCGACTAGCAGCTCAATGGTCGTGGGTTCAAATCTCAAGTGTGTTAGAGTTTTTTAATGAAGCTGAAAGCCTTAGACGCTAGTGCTTTAACACTTTAGTCTTAGAATTAATTCTCTGGCTAAATTTATAATAACAATAACAAGAATTTAGATAAGAGAAGTTTTCTCTAATCTTTCTTTGCTAATTGGAGTCTTGCGTTACAAATTGTGCTCTGTCCTATCAAACTCTTTAGTGCATTTCATAAGGCTTGCTGACGCCAAAAGATCATTGCAAAACGCCGCCTACATATCGAAATGATTTGCATTAAAAGTTAGTTGACTGTACATTTGTATTGAATATTATTGAACGTTTTAATCCTACCTACTTACAATTTTGTAAAAAAAAACTGACAAATGATTTGATTAATTCTTGTTACAATTACGTAACTGAATAATATCGCAATTTTCATAAATGTGTTTCTTTATATCCAATAAAATAATTTAGTGAAACAAGGGTAACAAAGTTTGCATTAACAACTGTTGCCGTCGAATGCCAGATTGTTTTTGGGAAAGATTAGACTTTCAAGTTTTCAAAACTTGAACTTTGAGTTCAGACATTTGTTATCAACCTAATTACATGAAATCGGGCAATTGTTATCAATGTAATTAATTAGCAATCATTGCATTTATTTACATAAATTCTTTTTTCCAATTTTGCGCAAAAAAATATTTTACTTACACGTGCAAAAATTGTTTTATTAGAATAAAATATCATAAGAAAACACGCGGTTTCATGGCATGTCATGAATGTCTTTTATATTCTCGCTTAAAATTCACTTTTAACTTTTATATCTTACAGATATTGTTCATACCATTCATAATATTTACGTATTATGACAGTTTTACAAGAATTGAAAAGTTTTGATGGCTGCGGTGGTGGTGGCGGTAGTTCTGCTACTGATTGCACCACAGGAGTTTTGGCCATGAAATGTTGCACTACGGGTACAAGTTCTAAGTCATCTATGGATGAAATCTCTGTACCATCAACATCTTCATCAGGACTAATGAAAAATCAGAATGTAAATGACATCTCGAAAAGTGAATCAATTTTTTCACGTTGTAAAGCAGTCGATTTAGAGTTTGAGAATCTCAAGTATACAGTGAGAAAATTCTCATTTGCAGAAAGAAATTTCGGTAAGCATTTAACTTATTTAAGATAAAAAAATTCGGTACAAATATCAAGTAAAGAAATAAGAGCGAATTTTTCACACCCATTACGGTTATCTTAAAAAGAACCAGAAACAAGTAAGAATATTATATTTGGACGGGACTGAATCCTTCACACGCATCATGGCTGCCCTGAAAAAGAAAAAAAGGTAAATGACAAATTTAGGCCTAGCTCTACAAGGTGAAGTGGGCGTGGCTGTTTTTTTTTTTTTGATTGGGTTTGGCGCATATTTATATGGGCGTTGTAGGCGTGTCCTTACATAAGTTTAAGCCACTTCCAAATTTGTAGGAGATATCTTCATTTTCGCTAACAGCTGGATGTTTACCACAAAAACTGCACAGTTGCGCAGACAAACAGATGTACAGACGGACATGTTCAGGTGCATTTGGGATTTTAAACTAACCAAAAATTTATATACTTTATGGAGTTTTTGAAGCTGGTTTCTGTGTGTTACAAAACTTTTGAAAATAAAATTACACTACAGAGTTGAGTACTCATGGACGATTATTCCCATTTGCGTACAGGTACGATAGCATCACCCACCCGGAAGATACGTTCAAATTTTTGCAGAATTGTCTGTTATAGTCTATGAGTAGTGAGAATAAACCGATTTTTTATTCCTGTCGAAAAACAAAAGTGTTCTCACTTTACGTAGTACTGCAGGCGTCTTCTTCGACCGATTGGGCCTATTTTAGATACCAGCCTGTATACAAGAAATTCAAATGTTTCTGCCAAATTTAAAGTTGATGGCTTCATTTTTGCGGTCAAGACACTGCTTACCACAAACATTACACAGACAGAAAAGAGGGACATGTGTAAATCGATTCAAAATTTAAAATTGATCAGAAATATATATAATGTATGGGGTCGCTGAAGCTTGCTTTTGAGCATTACAAACGTTTTGACAAATTGAATATACGCCCCCATCTTTCGGTGGTGATGACAAAAAAGGTAATTCCGTCACCAGGCCGGTAATAGCTCGCACCTAACAGTTTCGGAACTCCTGCTCTAAATGCCCTAAAATATAACTATTCGACTTGTTCTGGATTATTTTTTTTTAATAATATTAACATTTTTTTTATTCATTATTCCTGGCAGTGACAAAAGAAATTCTTCACGGCGTCAATGGCATTTTCCGTTCCGGCGAACTATCAGCAGTCATGGGTCCTTCGGGTTCTGGCAAAAGCACTTTGCTAAATATTTTATCCGGTTTTCGGTAAGTTATTCGTTTTTGTTCCTCTAATCTATAATAATATTAATTGCTGCTATTTAAAAATCATTCGTTTAATCATTTCTAAATAATTTTTACGATCTGTCAATAAATTACGATTGACTTTGAGCGTTTCGTCTAACGCCTCTAATTAGGTGTCATAAATTAAGGTGAAAAATATAAAAACTAAAAACAACAAAAAAAAAAAAAATGCGAAAAAACCTTCTAGGAATAGTTAAGCCACTATCTAAAGAATATTTTGGAAAAGCCCCTATGTGAGTTTAATAATAAAAAAAACCCTTCAATATAGAAAATAATATCTAATGTTCTCCACAAATGTGACAATTCTTCTAAATTCATATACAAAGCAATTAAATGCAGGTTTTTACATACGAAAGAATGAAGAATTATTTTCAAGTTTTTTTCTTTTGTACTAGAAAAAGGAGGCGTGGTAGTTCTAAGAAGAGGTAAGGAGTAAGAAAAATTTTTGTTTTTCCCAAAAAGCTGAATACAACAGCGAAAGCTAACGTTCAGCTACGTGATTGCTCGGCTGGTTTTTCTTCAGGTTTTCTTAAGCGCTCCCTTTATTATGGAAAGTTATTTTATCCACGGCTGAAGGATGAGAGGTATATTCACTTTGTCAAAACGTTTGCAACGCCCAGAAGGAAGCATCAGAGACGCCACAAAATATATATATTCTTGATTAGCATCAAATTCTAAATCGATTTAAGTATGTCCGTCTGTCCGTCCTTGTAAAGTCTGTTGCAAACATTCTCCTAACCGCGAAAGTAAAGTTATGGATTTCAAATTTGGCAGAAACATTGGAAGTTCTTGCAGGAAGCTTGATATTGAATTTGGGTCAAATCGATCGAAGGACATGCCTACAGTACCACGTAAACTGAGGACCCTTCTATTTTTAAAAGGAATAAAAAATTGATTTTACTCACTACTCATAAACAACACCAGATGAATATACAAAAATTTAAATGCACGCTCTATGAGTGATGCTTTAGCATCTGTACAAAACTGGGAAAAAATCGACCACGCCTACCCAATATTATAGCGTATCAAAATTAAAATTTTTTTTCAACACCTTCATCAGAGAAACAAATCAGCTTCATAAACCCCATAAGGTATATAAACTCTTGATCAGTTTCAAATTTGAGATGCATCTAAACATGTAAGTCTGTTTGTCTGTCTGGCCAGCTGTGTGGTATTCATGGTAAACATTCTCTCCTTAGTGAAAATGAAGATATCGCCTTCCAAGGACACGCCTACAACGCCTTCTCCATTTTGAAAATAGAGAAAATCAGCCGCGCCCACACCATCTTGTAGAGCAAGATCAAAATTTGTCTTTTACTTTTTTTTTCTTTTTTAGGATAACGGGGATGGGTATACAAGATTCGGTCATGATCGAATATAATTTTTTTACTTGTTTTTATTTACTATCGACGTGTACCCGATCATTTTCTTTTGTCATATATGGGAGTTTTGAAAGTGCATACAAATTTGTCTGATATTTACAAACGGAATGATGAATGAACTCAAACTATGTTCAATAGTATGGACAAAAAGTGATGAAACTATTATATTACACTGCACATAAATTATAGATTATATTGTTTAATGAGTTTGCGTGTCTATGTCAAAGAGCTGTCGACAATTCAGTTTAATCGCTTAATACCTTTGTTATAGTAAATACAATAAATCGATTTTTTTTTTTTTTTTGTAGTATCTATTTACAGAGATGAATCAATCGTGTAACGTGATGTTCAATTTCTTATGAATTGTAATAAGCAATTAGCAATTAATTAGAAGTATGCCAAAAGTATTTATAATAAATCGAGAGGTAATCGAGAGAGCTACTAAGCTAATATATGCACCTACGTATACTCACCTAGTAACACTAATAAAAATTCCTTGAACAATGAGAAAATTTATGAATAATTCTAACCTCAAATTATTCTAATAGACCAATTATAAATTTAAATGTGATTAATTGGACGTCTGTATGTATATATATAACAAGTTCCGGTACGATATGGCATATATTAAAAGTATTATAATGAAGAAGGGGGGGAAATACCGTATTTTTCGGACTATAGGACGCATCGGACGATTAGCCGCACTTCAGCTTTATAATATGGTTTTTAGAAAAGTATGGGTTAAGGTTATTTTCGGATCAAAATTTCTATTTATTGTTAACGTAACTCGTATTAGTAATATTCAGTTTATCTTCATACTCGATACTATCATTCGTTATTGCAATTTACAATTTTATATATTAAACATATATATATATATATATATATATATATTAATGTATTAGAGACAACTTATTGAAAAAATAAAAAAATTCACACCATAAGATATATCCAAAATTCGAGTCCATTTTTCTATGTAAAAATGTGCATCTTATAATTTAAAAAATACGGTACATAGCCCGCTACGAGTGACTATTTGTTTAGATAAAATCATAAAATAAGTAGCATTAAATTGCTACCTAACTGTTTAGGTTTGCTATGTTACTTGGTTTTTCGTTTACGACATCTACCAATCTACCAATCAAACAAACAAACGGTGATCTCATTTTTGCGACCAGGAGAATGTTTATAAAGGACATTACACAGACGGACAGACGGACATGCTTAAAACGATTTAGAATTTGAGGCTTACCAAGCGTATATATACTTTGTAGGGTCTCTGATGCTGCCTTCTGGGCGTTGCAAACATTTTGGCAAAATGAATACACCTCCCATGCTTCGGTGACGGGTATAAAAATGTATAGTTGATGTAATGACTACATGACAATTTGATAGCATGTAGCGGAAGTAAATAACAAGAAGAAAAAAAGGAAATGTCCAATAAATATTAGCGTCAATTATGCAATAGCAACGAGCAATAACGTGCGGTAGGTTTACTAAAAATAAGCGAAAATAATCTTTAATTTGTGCCAAGGCTTCAAAAAAAAAAAGAAAAAAAGAAGACGACAATATATGAGTTTGTCAAGATTTATAGCAAAAAGTTTACAATTCAATGATTTACCGAATTATTCAGATGATGATAACAACAATTTCCGTTTATGTATTTCAGCATATCTGGCTCTACTGGAACAATTAAAGTCAATGGCAAAGTTGTAAGCACAAGTTCAGACAAATATCGGAAACTTTCTTGTTACATAATTCAAGATGATCTGTTAAGATCTCACTTGACCGTGGGCGAGACAATGATGTTGGCCACTAATTTAAAATTAGGCTATCAAGTGACCAAAGTACAAAAAGAATTTTTGGTAAGAATATTATGCATATTTTATAAACATTTATTTATCTATTTATTTATTTATTTATTTATTTATTTATTTATTTAATCATTTATTTATTTGTTATTGTCATATTAAACCTTTTTCAATTTTGAAAATTGGATTAATTGTTTACTTTTTTTTCTTTCTTATTATTACTTTTCCAGATAAATAATATTTTATCAAAACTAACTTTAGAGCATCGTTACAATGCTCTCGTAGGTAAATTATCCGGTGGTCAGAAGAAACGTTTAGCAATTGCTTTGGAATTAATTAGTAATCCGCCAGTATTGTTTTTGGATGAGCCTACTACGTAAGTAATTTCATATTTTTTATATATAAATCTAGTTTGATCTGATGAAAAGTTCATAACAAGCTTCATCTTCTTTAAAATATGCTTGGACAGCATAGTCGTTTTGTAATGTAGGATGCATCCGTCAGCACAATTCGTCGTTTTTTTTTTATAGCTGCCTCTGAAAGATGGGAGAAATATATTCAATTTGTCAAAACGTTTGCAAAACTCAGAAGGAACTGTTAGAGACTCTCTAAAAATTTTGAACAATGTCTATAATCGTATCTCCATAGCGGACGCAATAATAACTATAAAAAAGGCTCTATATATCTCGGTCACATATAATATCGTCTTGGGGCAAAACTGAACCCTAGGGTTAAGTCATTTATCAAAATTAATTAGGTGTTAGGTGTTCAAGAAAGGATTATCAGGCGTTTAAAGTCTTGCGTCCTCCTGGGGGATCATTTACACCCTGACACTTATGATGATCTTACGAACTTTGTTAGTGGGGAGCAGACATTGCTTCCATTGACTTTCACTTCGGTGTCGTTCCCCTTGGGCAATAATAATACATTTTTCTCAATACTACTAAAATAATTTAATATTGACTTCAATTAACTAACACGCTACATATGCAAGCTCAAGAAGTAGTATAAATGTATTTACCTGATTTAGCTGAAATGTAAAAATTCTGTATCTGTATTGAAACGAAATAAACCATTTTTGTGTAGTTGTAAATGCAAAAATAAGGCAAAAACAAGTTCTGGCCAAATGAGGTGCCACTTTGCAATTTAATTAAAAATTTTATTAGCTGACTATGATTTTTGTATAAATTTTGCTTTGTCGATTTTTTTGTTTTAACACATTTTTTTTATTTTCTTAGTTAATGTTTTTGAGTTGTTTCGTTACTCGTAAATGCATTTTATTTATTTCTTTCCAAAAACTGTTCGGAATTATTAATATATGACGTTCACTACACACGTGTATATACATATCTAGGGTGGCCACGAAGAGTTCCTACTTTTAATTTGACGTAAAAACAAGTAAGAAAGCTATATTCGGTGGCGGCCGAATTTCCCATACCCAACCCAATGTTTTCGATTATGAAAATTAATCCACCAGATCCTGGTGTCCACCACATTTATGAGCTTCATTTTGCGACCACAAAGCGTAACCCGGTTTTATTACTTTTGTAATGTATACGCTCTGCAACTGTGCACTTTTCCATGGGTATTTAGAAAACAATACTGAGTCAATTGTGGTTGGGCGATGAATCGAAATGAAATCTATAATTTATTCCCGATATCAGATGCTTTAAATACTGTCGAATTCTTTCTCCTCAGTAAGGACGCTATGCCTATGTAGTATATAAACTATCTTTTAATCTTTAAATCTTCCGATGATTCGCAAATTGATTTGAATATGTTCACTGCTATCGATTGCCAAGCTTTTGCGTCTTTTTAACGGGTTAGGTGTTTAGTTCCAGCTCGGATCTACACACGCTGCGGATATGCCTGTAAGCTAGATATGCTTGCTTTCTCTTTTTATATCCATCACCGAGGCATGAGAGGTGCATTCATTTTGTCGAAACGCTCAGAACGCTTGAAAGGAAACCTCAGAGAACCACTTGGTCTGTCCACCTGTCCATCCGCTCAACTGTATGATAGTTGTGGTAAACATTCTGAAAATTGCAAAATAATTTGAAAACAACTTGAACACTTGTACAACGGCCACACGTCTATGTAAGAGAAAGTGTGAACACCTTTGCTTTCCCTGTTTTTCGCTTATAACTCATAAAGTACAACACATGCAAAATCCAAGTTTATTCTGAATACAGAAAAAACCGATCCCGCCCACCCAATATTGTAGAATACGAAAATGTAGTTCTTTTCTCTTGTTTTATAATGATGGTGATGATGGGTATAGAAAAGTCGAACTTTTTTCTTGTTTATTTATACATGATATTTGTTTTCTTTATTTTTCCTTCTTGTTTATTTTTCTTTATATTCTTTATAATGGTTGTTTAGTCGTAATGCTTACCGTAGAATTTAATCCAAAACGTCTATCAAATCCCTCTCTATTTATTTCAGTTGAATTTCATGTATAAATAAATAAAAAACTAAATAAACAAGTAAATAAAAAATTTGAATAGTGTGGTGTTTACAAAATAAACGCAGTGACGTGATTACCTCCTATATAAATATATATATTTATATATATAAAAAGTGTGTATGTTTATAAACGTATACATCTAATGAAACATGCACTTATCATTGCTAGAACGGATAAAAAAGAATAAAGAAGAAGCAGAAAGTCTTTACCATTTCAAAAGACAACAATATAATATTGTTATGAAATTCGCTTTTTACAAGATGCAGTCCGTATCACTGGATCGTGGATATTTTGTCCAAGCGAAATACACTTCAAAATTCTTTTATTTTACTACTTTGTCTTTCACAACAGTAGGAATAATTATTTACAATTATATTTCTTACATGTAGGATTATTCACAATTTATTTTGGCCGTACTCTCAGCTCCAATGTTCATGCCCGACCAACTCTCCCCTCCACAAATATTTTATTTATATACATTTTTACAAGCATGTTACCTAAATACCTAAATTTATGGTTGTATTTCTAATCCCAGCCGGCTTTTCCGCTAATCGTTTTCATCGGCCTGCAGCTGCATGAGGCGCCTGCGAATGCTCATTTGGTTTTTTCTTCTTTAGGGAATTTATTATTAGGGAAAATCACTTAGCTGAAATTAACTGGATTTGGGATTTTCGTAACAATATTATAACAGAGTGAAAGTGTCTTGAAGGAATTTTCGAAACAATTTTTATTGATCTCTTTTTAACCAAATTGTTATTCCAAAATAATTTTGGCTTCTTTTCCTTCGCTAAATAATTTTTCGATCAAGCCAGGTTAACGTTCAAGTCGTTTATCGTCAGGATGAAGCTTAAGAGAGTTAAAAATATGCGTTAACTTACTGCTAAAGGCGTAAAGGAGCAAAGGAAAGGAAAGGGTTGCAATAAGAACGACACTGAAATTCAGTTCGCCTTTTCCTTTAATTTTTTTTAAAACAAAAACATATGCTAAAGGGATGCTAAGGCAAACTTTATATGGGCCAAGTTGTTTGTAATACGAAAGGCCAAGCGGGTCAATTCGGAACTGAACGGAATTTACTCTTTAGAACATCATATATAAGAGCGGATCAAATAACATACTGTCGATGAGCATAAAAGTAAAGCGCCACAGTTCAATTATTTATTCCAAGTTATTATAAAAAACTTTAAGAAAAAAAGGCAATTAATTACGTAATTAAGATTGACATTACATTAATGGAGGCATAAGTAAATGCATTAACATAAATGCGCGTAATAATATTAAACATTTCCTTTTATTTTATTATAACAAATATTGTAATAATTGCCTGAGAATTAATGCTTATTCTTGCTATTTAGGTTTTAACACAATCCACTACAATTTTATGCGGTTACGGTTTTAAAAACACGTGTAAGGCAAATATATATGTGAAACTGCGCTTTAGTTAATATTGAATCTGTTCAAGTTTAACCAATGGATTTTATGGTCAGCGGATAAAACAAGCAAACAAATCTGTGTTTATTTCCACACAGCTTGTTAAGTCTATTTAAAAGTTTTGCAATTAACTAATAGGCAATTATTTTTTAGGTCAATAAGGTTTATTGCTTTAGAATCATACTATATTTATCGTGAATAAAATGATCACACATTAACAAAGAGTAAACAATAATCACACTACAGCATTTTCCAATTAAAAAGCTTTGGAAATTTATTGAATGGCAGATGAAATTTTCTCATCCCTCTCCCCGTCAGATAATCTGTTAAGTAAATGCAATTCAAACTTTTTGGTTATTAAGACGAAACATGAACCAAAACTGGCTGGAATAGCTGATAATAAGTAAACATAATAAAGTATAAGTTAAAATGAAATTGCACATGGCCTTGAAACAAGAAGTTATAGTTTAAAATCAGAGAATGGCAAAATGTGGAACAAAAGTCGTGTCAATCGCTAATAAATTAATTGAATAATGACAATGACTTAGAAAGTAAGTAATTTGCAGAAAGCTGTAGCAGAAAATTGTGTAGCTTTCGAAGTCTTGAAATTTTGTGAGTTAAACGTCGATCGCTTATATGAACCTGCTTAATATTTGACCTTGATTGCAGATTAATCTTAAATCGAGTCATAAGTAACTTCCGTATGATTGTGTGGTATTTAATCTTTTTGCTATACCTCTTGTTGATTGGCGTGGATTTTGCTCTGATATTGCCTTCAAAAGGTCGTCAATCTTTTCAGGTCGTATCTTCAGAACGGAATTTTACAAACCAATTTCTAACTTCCCCATTATATATTTTTAAGTCTCTGGCCGTTTACACTGCATATTTGTTCAGCTGTCGCCTTAGCGCTATTGACTTGTTTAAATTCCCAAAGCATTACCTGTCGATTATGCACTTTTTGACTCTCCATATCGGAGGTTAAGAAAAGCTGTTGAACGTAAGATGCACCATATAAAACACTTGACAGAACAATAACTGAATCCTCATCTATATAGTGAAATCAAAAAGTCGTTTGTTTCAGTGACTTATAGTGGATAAATACGAATTCTATCTATCTGTATCGAAAGTTATTTATGGCTCGGCCTAAATATCTGCTGCTAATGTGGGCGAAGAAAGTTCATCTGGGGGAAACTCGATATGATCAAAAACGTGATGGATCGTGACTTATTTTTGCTCTTTCCACATTCCCAACAATACTTGTACTCTTCTGCGATCTATATATATATATATATATTCATTCCTTTAGATTCAGTTTTATTTGCTTTAGTGTGGCACGTAGTCTGCCGTTTATCTTATATCACTTGTTGATATATGGTGTCAATACCTCAGCTATAGTATTTTGCAAACTGGTGCCTTTTCCTTTATATAATTTGAAGTTACAGATGTAACCCGTCCTATATTCGTATAGCATTCTATTTAAAATCCCATGCATAATTGATTTCATGGGATTACACACTTTGATTTTGGTATTGATCATCCCATATTGTCTCGCCGATTTCCTAGTGAATACGTCTTTTTATATCCATCGCTGAAGGATGGGAGATATATTCATTTTGTCAAAACGTTTACAGCACTCACAAGAAAACATCAGAGATCCACAAAGTGTACATATTATTGATCAGCGTTAAATTCTGATTCGATTTCAACATGTCCGTCTGCCCGACTGTGCAAGCAATCTCCTCTTTGCAAAAATGAAGATATCGCTTACAAACTTGAAAATGACCGGCATTTTTTAAAGAACCCGCCTATAATGCCCACACGCCTATGCTACGAAAACTATGAACACCTTTGCTTTCTGTGTTTTTGCCCGCATTTTTCGACTTCACGGTGATGGGTGTATAGGATTCAGTCACAACCGAATATAATTTTCTCAACTATTCATTCTAAAATTGCTAAACTGTTAAGAGGAAAAGCCCGCAAGTAGAATACGAAAAGCATAGTGGTGGGCACGCGAGATTCGGACATCGCCGAATGTAACTTTTTTGTCTTTTTTTAATTTTAAAATGAATTTTTTACGAAGTTTTTCAATGAAGTTCTGAGTATATATACATATATATATATATATGAGTATATATACATATATATATATATATATGTATACATTTTTTTTTTTTTTTGAGAAAATATTTAATAAGGGATGACAGCTCATTCAGTTTAAACACAACAAAAACAGAAGGCTCGCTTCTTATCACATGGAACGTCATTGAGTATTTTATGAAAACAATTAGTAAGTGAACATGTAGAAGAGGTTATCAAGCCCTTTAGCAAATAAATTAATAATAAAAAAAAATTGCATAATAAATCGAGCGGAGATTTTTTTTTTTCAAAGTCATAGGGAATCACTATTAAATATATATTATTTTATAATGCTTTAAGCAAAATTTGTATATCTATTACATAATAACATATCATTTATTGTTCTCTTTACACATTTACAGGGGCTTAGATAGTTCTTCCTGCAGGCAATGCATTGATCTATTGAAAAAGCTTGCCTCTCAAGGTCATACTATTATATGCACCATTCATCAGCCCAGTGCAATGTTATTTGAAATGTTTGATAAGCTGTATACCCTGGTGGATGGGTACTGCATGTATCAAGGCCCCATTAAAGAATTGATACCATTTTTGGCTGATCAAAATCTTTTATGTCCCACATATCACAATCCTGCCGATTATTGTAAGTAATTATTTCCCTATTATCTATTCAAGTACACTATTGGAGTAAACTTTTTTCGAAATAGTGCTCGAAGTAGCCGTTGGAGATCACAGCTGTGATTTAGATAAACTTATTCATGCAGCAAATAAAAAATATTACGAAGACGCTGACTTCAATCGCGTTAAGAGATTTATTAAGCAAATTCGTGGTAAGTATACCCTGCTGCTATATTTTTTTGCTCTTTTTTGTATTGAGTGAAATCTTCTGTCTCTTTCATTTCATTTCTTAGTTGAAAGGCTAGAATTAGATACCGGTCCGGCATCCAATAAGCTAACAAAAAGTATGAAATATCTATCTTTGGATCACGAGAAACAACCTACTGATGAATTAGCCTTAGAGGAACGGAAAGCACTTAACGCAACAGTTGGCGGTAATAATGTTTTAAATACGTTTGACGTTGCCGAAGAAGATTCAGATGAGCAAACACAATTGGCGAACTCAAAAAAACCTCTCATTAAATCGGCCTCGTTTTTCATGCAATACTTGCTTCTGCTGAACAGACATTTCATTTGCGTTCGTCGCAATTATGTAAGTTTCAAATTAATATAATAAATAATGCTGAACTGAAGGAAAATATGACTGAAATGTTCCCAAATAGCTCTTTAGCTCCAAAGAACTAAACTAAAGAATATTTTGTCCTGTTACGTTCACCTATTCGTTAACATAATCTTCATAATTAAGTTAGTAGTCATAGGAATGCTCGCACTCGAGATAATTGAAATAAAAAACGTAATTTGCATTTGAGACAATCAAAGCAAAACTTATGTTACCTAAGTACTCCACCATTGTTTTACGTGAGCATTATTTAAATAAAGATTTGATGACTTCATTCATTCGTCTCACCTATGCTGACATATCCACAATCCTTAGAAGTGAGATAAAAAATTTGCATTTAATATAATTTTTTTTAGTTGATTTTGACAGATGGAGTGGCAAACCTTTTGCTCAAAACACATCGTGTCATCCATCGATTAAGAAAGAAAAAATTCGTGCATTTATTTCCGCAAGAATTAATTCTAATGAGTTAGAGGCCCTGTTTAGAGGGAACATTTAAGAAATTAAAAAAAATTCCTGAAAGATACGCTAAGCGACTCCAAAACTGTTTTGCTAATACCTCTACCGCAATATAAAAATGTGTCAGATTTGTGCTTTCATTCAATTATAAGCGCACACAAGAGATCTCTGAGTAAGATACTGCTTCCATTTTCTTGGCCCTCGCTGATGTATGTTTTCAAAAACTATAATAGAAAGTTGCAATGCTGATGATAGCCCTGCAAATGTAGGTTGAAGTAAGGACGAGATTTCACCATAAATGTGTCCGTAATAAAGTGGTCAAAAGCAATTACTTATAAGCTACAAATATATATATATATATATATATATATATAATTGACATAATTTTCTCATTTCCTTACTTTTTTCTTTTTTTTTTTCTAAAATCGGCTTAAGTTCATTGTCTCTGACCGTAGTATTAACAAATTTCATACCCAATAACATAGCAAAGACATGTTCAATTGAATTCAATTATTTGAGTAAACATGAATAGGATGAACGATACAAGTGCAAATCTATTTAACTGCCATAGAAGTAATACATACTTAATTAAATATAAATTTAATATTTTTCTTAGGCGGCATTTATTGAATATTATTTCCATGCCGCATATAATTTTTTTACTACTTTATACATAACAGTATATATATATATATATATATAAATTAATTATTGTTTATATTGTAAAAAAATGTTGTTTAAAGATTAATGGTATTTGTTTTTTAAAAAAAATAATCACCTATTACGGTGTTTAATTAACTTTTTATATCTCTATTAAATGTATCTCATGCTTTTAGCCGCTTTATATAACTAAATTAAATAATTGTTAACTTATTTAACCAATGGTTTCAAAAAGCCATTAACCTTCACATACTTAGCTCTTGAGCAAATACCGTTCACCTCTGAGAGCAATAGCGAACCATATGGTTAGTAAGTCACTAGATGAGAGATTTAATTATATGCTCTAAACTGGAAGCTTTTTGAAAACTCGTTATTCCAATTTTAGGATACGATAAGGCTGTCATTTATAATAGCTTTAGTGACTCCTGCGGCGAAGTCTTTGCACTGGATTTACATTACCTTTGAGATATCGAGCGATAGCCCACTGACACCACTTAAAGTACATACATGTTCTCAATCGCCAAGAACGATTCTGTCTGTCCATTCAACTTTGTAACAACAGAAGTTTTGAGAAAACGCTAAAGTTGTTGACATGTTAATGAGCGCAGATCTAATGGGTGCGACTCGGTTTTAAACATTTTTTTTTTGGTCGGAATTCTTTCAGTTGCAAGTTATAAAATCGATCAATCTAAAGCGTAGCTCCATCTAAGGCTCCGTGTTATTTATGCTAGATCTATTTTTACACTTAAGATGAATGAATTGGTCAAGTGAGCGCAAGTTTTGTTTTCTTTTGCCCTACCCGGCTTGCAGTAAAGTATATTAAGGTTGTGAGGGCATATGCTATATGCGGCGGAAGATTTGAATAAAACTTAAACATTTTACGAATCCACTACCTTTTACATATCTTTATTAAAATTATTTGTTGAAATTAAAAATTTAATAATATTTAACTAATATATGGTAGTATAAATGAGTGTAGAATTTTCGTAGTGAAATTTGGCACATAAGCGTAACTCGTTGTCCGTTTTGACTACAGAGGTATATATTTGGACTCTTCCCCAGTTAAGGCGTTTCTTGTACACCAAACCTCCATCTGGGAATAAAGTGTAATATCTGATATTTTATATTAAGAAAAAGTAAAAGAAGAAGCAGAAGCAGAAGCATCTGAAGGATGAAGTGCTTTAGATTTTTGTATTTTTATTTGTTTATATTTTTATTGCATAATAATTTTTCTCTTTTCTTATTTTTTAGAATCCATATCTAACCCGCGTTCTATCCCATATATTTATTGCATTCGTAGCTGGTTATATATATCGAAATGTTGGTGGAAATGCTACCACTGTACTTGGTAATTACGCTTATGTATACGGTAGTGTACTGCTAGTGCTCTACACCAGCAAAATGCCAGTTATTCTCACATGTAAGTGTTTTATATTCACATATTAATTGATATATATATATATATATATATATATATATATATATATAAATATTAATGCATTCATATAGTATTTTTCATTCAATGCAATGCAAAGATATTTATATAAAAAATGTAATTAGTATAAATTAAAAATTACCTTTACGTAAAGTTCAATTACTAAAACAAGTCGTTTGTTATTAACGCTATCGATAGTTCAATAAACTCTCGTACCCGGATAATTATACTGTATGCAACAACACATTGCACATACACAACAAATGCACGCCCATATGTTTACCATACATACATATACATTAATATCGAGTTTATATACAGCTATCGTTTATCAGTAGTCAGCGCAATTTTGTATAAAGCAAAAAAAGCAAAGTTAACTTTGAATTAAAAATGTGTGTCAGATGTACAGACATGAAATAAATATTGTCATGTTTGTTTGTTTTTTTTTTTTTTTTATTTTCATTTTTTATTCTTACTTTTATCACGTAGGTTAATAATAATAATAATACTAACTTACACGAACAAGTATTTGTTTAAGTGTTTACGGTAGGTCAAGGATACTCACGCCTTTAATTTTATTCAAATACAGAGTCTGTCAGCAGCAAATTATTGCATGCAATCAAGATTTCTGCATTACATTGGAACAAAAAATGTTTTTACCTATAACTTAAGTAAGTAAATAATGATCCACTTCACTGACTATCGCCAGTACATAGGTTTTTTTTTATCCATCGAAGGTTGTGGGGGTATTAACTTTGTTAATTCGTTTCGCAATGCATTGCAAGAAAGTAATTATATTCGATTTGTTTCCATTTTCAAGCTTCAAGTTGTAATCTGACGAAAACCATCTAAGTTTATAATTTCTTCTTAATTATGGACATTTGATAAAGTTTGCTCCGACGAGCCAATTACCATTTCTAAAGTCAGTTACTACTTGTATTTCTGTAGTGTATCACTTGTCCCAGGGCGATTTTAAAGTCGAAATCGATTTAAACATGTCCGTCTGTCCGTCTGCGTAATGTCAGCTGTAAAAATTCTCTTGGCCCCAAAAATGAAGCTAATGACTGAAAATTTGCTCTTGCACGCAGATTCGTATTGAAAACGTGCTCAAACGCTCGAAGGGCCCGCCTACGGGACCGTGCACACTGACAACCCCTCTGTATTTTTTTGCTCATTACTCACAAACCACAGCAGATGAACGTACAAAAATTTCAACATATATTTTATGGACGATCCTGTGGAATTTGTTCGAAAATCGGAAAAATTGACCACGCCTACCCAATGTTATAGTCTATCAAAATATAGTTTTCTTTTCAATATCTTTATAGTACAGAAGCAAGCTTTACACTCCCCACGGAGCATATAAATTCCTTAGCGAATTCGAAATGCGCCTACGCATGCTCTTCGTCTCTTCTGCCCATCTGTCCTCATGTTAGTTCCTCCATCAGCTAGTCTGCCAAACTCTCATTTGCAAAAAAGAGGATATCGCCTACAAATTTTGCAAAGGTGGTTGAATATACCCAGGTCAAGCAGGTCAAAGAAGATAACAACCAAAACTGAAAACATCTTTGCTTTCCGTGTACTTTGTCCTTTGCTCATAAGCTACAACATAAAATTCCACACCACCTAATATTATCGAGTAGAGAAATTTATACTTTTCCTTTTTTTCAAGCTTCTATGGGAAATCGATGAGTCCATCGATTAATGGCGTTATTCCTATCGAAGGTCTACTCCTAAATAACTTTAGTTTTAAGGAAAGTCTAAGTAGAAAAATATTATTATTAGATATCACAGTGACAATTAAACTTTTATCCCACAAAAATTAATTTAATAATCTTTAGAATAGTTTTTGAATCTATCCAGGATTTTATATTGTTCTGCATTTTTGTAATAAGAGAATTCTTTTCATTTTAGTTCCTTTGGAGATGAACATATTAAGGCGGGAACATTTCAATCGTTGGCATACGTTGGTGCCATATTTCCTATCGATTTTAACGTTTGACGTACCATTCCAGGTAAGTGCGTACATGCATGCAAATTTTTATCACTTATAGTTAAACAATTTCAATGAAAAGGTTAAACAAAAAAAAAAACAAAAACCACAAAAATGATTTCTGACATGCTTGTTGTACCAAATTAATCATAGAAAATTATTACTGGGAACACGTGTGCCAGATGAAATCATAATAGAAGTTTTGCGCATTTATAATAATATATGAAAAACAATGGATCGCTTGTTGAATCCGGGCCCTTTTTTTTTAAAGCAATTTTATTGTTTGTTCTTATTTTTTTCTTTATTTGTTTTTTTTTGTACATTTTTACGTTATCAAGTGAATAAACTTTTGCAATTAAAATAAAAATGATAAAAATAATCATGGAGAAACTTTCCTTCAATGCAATTTGTATCAGAATTTTCAATGTTTTTGTTCTCGCTCCAATAAGATTTTATTAATCTTTTCCTTCCACTTGTAAAAGTCAATAAAACACATCTGGATTTTGCAAGGGCACGTATTCAGCCTGGCTCTTTTGTAGGCAATAAACTGATTAAGGGTTCGTGTTCGTTCGCTATTTCAAAAAAAAAGGCACCTTTTCAAAAATTGAATCTTTGTTCATCATGCCTTGTCTTTTACTAAGTCTAATGTTGTCGTCGCCGGCGACCTATTAAGCATTGTTTGCACCTTTGCCTTTCCCTTTCTTCTTTGAAAAGGGTAATGTTTATGGGCACAAACATATTTCAGTTAAGATTTCAGGCCGTTAAGTAGATGCTCGTCGTCAATTCTTGAGTTAAACCCGTTTATTGAATACGCAAGTTCAAACTTTCAGGTGCAAAGTGGTCAAGAAGCAAGCACATGCTAGCCTTTACCAGTAGTTTGTCGTATCTCCCCACCAATGCCTTCTTTAATCTTTGCCGTTTCGCGTTCTTTCCCTCGGCATATCAAAAAGACCAAGCCGACCTGTTTGTTGCTATTACTATTTTTTTTCTTTTTCTTGAACATGACCAATCACTGAGAAGATGTCGGCTGTAGGTATAACGCGGTGATATGCGGAACGAGAAAAAGAGGGGGTTGTGTGACTAATCGGTGGGTGTTATGCGAACCTTCACTATAACTTCGACCCTGTATAGTCAAACCACACTGAGATTTCAATCCGCTAACACAACGACTTGATGGCCGCGACACTTATTAACTCCACTATGCGGTTACTAGCGCGACGACCGTACAAAAATATTCTTAAAGCTTCGAGTAGTTCACAAAAATCGTTTGACTGAGTAGTTTGAAATATTAAAAAAAAAAAACAACAAATAAGTTGATCTAATCTTAAAAATCAAATAATCCTGAGGTTATCCTCATCCTCTTATCTTAATTGTTCAAGATGTATCTTTGTTCCGATTAAACTCCTAATAAATTTCCTAATGTCTCATAATTATCTTGCAAGAAGAATTCTCTAACGATCTATCAGATCAACGAGCGATGTATCTCGTTGGAAAGTAAGGTGACTCTACTATGCATTCAAGCCTTCAGTGAATTCTTAATTCAATGCCGCATCTGCGAACGTAATTTTTCTGCTATTGTTTAGCGTTTCCTTTGTTTTACATATCATTATAATTTTAGAAATACATATATTTTTTCCCAATGAATAATTTTGAAGTGAGTAATCTGAACGCAAAGTATCATCATCGGGATGGGATACGAAAAAGAAAGAAAAGAAAAACGAAATTATAAAAAAACACATTCACACATTCAAAAAAACACTAAATACTCATCTCTCTTACATAATATTGCAAGCTATCAGATAATCAAAAAAAGGATAGGCTTACCTTGGTTTGCTCCGCAAAGCTAATTTATGGACTTAAAGGCCTGCGAGTAATAATGGAGTTTTTTGAATCTGGAATAGAGGAGAGGCTAAAAAGCTGAACATGGACACACGAAAAATAATCCATTGAAGTTGTACCAGAATGAAAAATAATCGAGGGCAGCATACTACCATCTGTCCTCCTTAAGTACCTGATAAGACAACAGCCCGAGGGGTCTTTATAATCATCTGGAAATGCTTTTGTCCCTTTCTTCTTACACCTGAACAAGACAGAACTTTAGCAGATTGCTAATTAACTGTCTGTCTGAACAGCTTCCGCTAACTGTTCCACTACATCTGGAAATGCGGCAATGTTCCATCGAATGAACTGAACCGTAGGTTATGTACCCGCTTCATTTTCTTTGAAAATGTTCAGTAATTCCCAAACACCACGAAACTTACTTTAAAAGCGATTTTAATAATTTTTCAAATTTGTTTAAATTGATCGTGAATTCCGAAGATCCAAAGCAAATCGAAAGTGATTGCCTCATGAATGATTTATTTATCTGGTTCTTTTACTTACCGTCTGCTTATATTTGATCTAATTTCAGTGCTTTTGTGTGATATGCTATGCGGTTATAAGTTTACACTTAACCGGCAACGATTTGTACGATGACAATCGTGTTTACTATTTCGTATGTTTTTGCGTTATGATCTCGATATGTGCCCAGGCCTATGGACTTCTTTTCGGAGCCACTTTCCCAATTAAGGTAATTTTCATATTAAAATAAAAATTTGTTTATTTTGTTTGGTTTTTTTTTTTTTTTTTTTAATTTCACTTTATATTTTTACAGATGGCGGTGTTCTTAGGTCCTATATATGCCGCTATGATGTCATTCTTTGGATTTTGCTCGGGATATGTTGATGTCACGCCAATGTTTCGTTGGATGTGGCATATTAGTTATAGTCGGGCCGGTTTACACGGTATACTGAATACACTCTACGGCAGAAATCGAAAACCATTATATTGCCCGGATGATATAATTTATTGTCATTTTCAAAAACCGAAAATATTTCTAAAATTCATGAACGTCGACGATCTCAGCATGTTAGATTCTTTTAGCACATTGTTTATATCCACCGGTATTGTTTATCTACTAATAATAATAATTTTATGGTATAAATTAAGCAAACGGTAGATTATTTCCCTTATTTATTATTTAATATATCATATTTTGCATCAATTATCATATAATATTATTCATAATTCATGTTAGAAAAATAAAAAGAAGAAACAAAAAAATGTAAGGCTGTAACGTAAAAATAGGATAATAACTGGTGTCAGTTGAATAAATTAAAAATTATTCATAAAATGTTTAAGGTCTAAGGTATCCTAAATAACCGACAATATTTGAATTCAAAATTCTTTTCTTTTTTTTTCTTTCGCTTGCACCATTTGAAAGCCAAATATTAGTTTACACTTTGGTTGTTATTATTATGTTTTTTTTTTTTTTTTTTTTGTTTAAACTTTCTTGCCGATTTACTCTGTTAAAAATTTGTTATTTTGTGATTTAGCTTTAAGCAGAAATGTTTACAAATTTTGATAATTTATGTTTGCGTTTTCATATTTTTTTTTTATTAATAAAAATAGCAGTAATTAAAAAAAAAAAAAAAATACATAAAAGAGCATTTTTTTGGCTTTTAGGCACAACTTGAATATCTATGCAAGATACTAGCGTTTATTAGCACCTAAGTACCAGTAAGTATTTATCATTCAATGGTATCGAACATGTTGCCATTCTTTTCTTTTGTAGGTCAAATTGTCGTTGCTTCGGCTGTCTATTGGATGCCTCTCGAACAATCGAACAGATCAAAAAAGTTGATAAATATCAAATTGTGTCCGATGAGATGCACACATAGCTAATAGTTTGGTCTAATGGACACAAAGGGAAACGTATACAATAACTTCACTACTGACATGTGTCCACCTTGCGTCGTGTAATTATTAATCGTCATTTGATGAACGTATATTAGACGGATGTTATTATGCCGCAACTTTGGTTGTTGAACAACTATTTTTATCGCGTTCTGTCCGCAGTTTTTGTTTTCCAATACAGATTATTTGCAATTCAGTTATTGTTTTCTCGCTAATTATATATACGCCTATAATTTATTCAAAAGCAAAGTTTAGCATTCGATTTTCTGTTTTTTTTCTTTTTTGTTGTTGTTTTTTTAAATTGACCAATGGACAATTGCGCATACTTTTTTAAGGTCGACCAAGAATATATATATATTTAACTAGTTAATTTTGTATGCCGAATGTATACGTCATGATCCGTCCATCCTTCTTTGTTGGATTTCCACATCAAATTTTGATTATTCATCATTTTTTCACTTGAAAAGGGCGTTTATTATGAAAAATTAGTATAATATATATCATGAATTGGTATAATATATATATGAAAAATTGGTAGAATATAATATGAATCAAAATAGTCTCCATTATTTTACAACATTTTTCGCAACATGGCGATATATTGGCGGGGAAAGTTATATTGGTTTGGCAGTTGTCCACCCACGGACTTACTTTCGCACTTCTTCAATTTTGCCGAACCGGGTGCCAGCCAAACCATGCTGCACCGATCTGAACAACTGGTAGTCAGGAGACGTCATGTCTGACAAGTACGATATGAATGAATGGTCGCCGTTTTCTTATAGTGAAGCAATTAAAAGTGATGTGCAGTTGTTGAATTCGTTATATGTAACGGCAATCGTCGTTTATTTCTTATAAAAATACAATTGATTTTGGTTTCAATACAATTTCGTGCGTTTATTTCTCATTAAAATACGACTGATTTTGGTTTAGATGGGTGTGATAGATCTTCCCATTCGAGCTGCAGCAGTGTATTCTGGACAACCCTTGCAACAAGTGGCCGAAAAATGGCATTTTCAATCAATACATGTCGCCACTTTAAAACCCTTGACCGACAATAAAAGATATGATGAACCAACATCACCATAGTACTCTGAACGTGTTTGGTGGGCTTCGGCAGCAGATTTCTTCAAATAAACAATTAAAGTAATGAATCCGAATTTACGTCCGAGTACACTGAATAAATCAATACTATTAAATGGGAAACTGTTAGTTTATGTAGTGAAAGGTCAAACTCGTTGAATTCAACCTTCGCTGATCAACATTTTTGCAAACACCTAATATATTGGCCATAGTTTTTAGTATTTTAGAAAATAGTTTTGTCGTATTTTGTTAAGGCAACATATAATTTCATGCTACACATATTCTGTGTGTGACGAGTATAGTTGTCACATAATTTAAATGAATATTATTCAATTAGATCGACGTAATTAACTGATTGATAAGCGACGTCTTCGCAATTTAGATGTTACGCGAAGAAAGTCTCCAAAAAATGTATTTTTTTTCAATTTGCATATTGAGATGAGTCGTATAAATTATATTGCCTACTTTTAGGCAGACTTATAATTCATATTTTACTGTTCTCGATCTGCTTTCGATCAATTTCGTGGGCAATAGAAACTTTTCTTTTAAGATTTTCTTCACTCTTTCCCCCTTGACTGTGATAAGGAATTTATTAAATAAATAATTTGCTGTTTTCGTCGCCTTTTTAATGAAGACGAAGTTTGCCAATTGATAATCGATTGTTGCTTAATTTGACATACCCACAAAATACGGAACAAAGGCATTACAACGTATTAGGTTGACAAGAAAGTTCTGATGTATCTTGCAATCTGTAGGTTATTTTAATTGCCAGATTTATGTAAACAGGTGGAAGGCGTCATGCGCGATCCTATTACGATATAGGAGGACTACTTTCAATACCCTTCATAAACTGTAATAGATGCAACACATTTAAGACTTAATGGTTAGTATGAGTTCCGGAAAGGAAGCTTGTAAAAATTAATGTGACACGTTGGAAAGTAAAGTTCTTGTTCGGATCTGCCGAAGATATTTTGCAAATTTCGTTCCGCTCGTTTTAAGCTCTGGGTGATATTGAAACGTTCCCGGCGACGTTGAACAGTAGTCCATATCTTTGCATTTGCAAAGGAACTCGGTATCCACCATTCGATTGTTGACGAACAAGTCAAACATATTTGAATACATATATATTATTTAAAATGTGACAGCACTTTTGCCCCAACCTAATATATACATTCCGACATTCGAAAACATTTTAGTCATACTTGTCGTTTTGTCTTTTCATTCTTTTCTTAAATTAATGTCTGTGTTTTTGTTTGTTGGAATTCGGCTATAAGTGGCAATTCATATAAATAGCTGAGGACAAGTGCATATAAACTTTATATTTGTAGTAAAATTAATAGAAATTGTATGATGTTTATAGTTTTATCTTGTGGAATGAGTATATCATAAACTACCTGACTCTGATCTGATGGGTCTTATGAAAGTTGGAAGCATAAAATTGATCAAAAAATACCAAGACTTTGTTAATTTATTAAACAGTACCCTATAAAGTAATCGCTAATACATCAAATCGTAATTAATGCAAAACTTTACCATAATTAAGTCGCTTGGAACAAGTGCTTGTATAACATCTTTGATTTACTTTTTGATCCCTTAGTATTTTTTCTAGGGGAAAAGGGAAGTGTTTTTATGTATTCATCGACGCCTGTAGACTGTTGTTTATGTAGTTCGGACTTTTCTTAAGGAAAAGGCATAAGATGAGGTAGATTAATTTTGACTGATCTAAATAGTAACTCTCAGGTATTTACTATAATCTAATTTCTATTGTTTTAGTATCGGAATATAAATTGACCTTTAAGATGTCTTACGCATCAAATATGTTCCTTTTTCATTGATTAGCAATTTTTAATCATAGCGTACATTGCACTTTAAGAACTTTAACCCTAAACTGACTACGAGGAATGTTTGAGTCCCATTTGAAATTAAAATTTTGCGATTGTCTTATACCGCATTTCTGAGAATTGTTGTTTTTAACTTTACTTTAAGTTGACAAGTAACACTAAAAAAAAAAACAATATTTAAATTCGAAGTTGGCCACGATATCAAAATTTCACTAATGCACATGTGAGTCACAGTCTTACAGAGCACTATTACGTTATGCTTTGGAACAGGCTGCGCACGAGCGAAATCAATCTTTATGCAAATCGTACAAGACATGTCTTAACTTGCATTCAGTCATTTTGAAATTATATAGAATTTATATACATTTGCCCCTGTCGTATACAGGCACTGCCCAAATAGTAGATGTGTGCGGATAAGGTAATTTCTATATCAACTTGTACGGATCTTCAAGATTTCTTCATTGATTACTACCGGTTAACAGCTTGCACTTTTTAATTAATTGATCTCAGTTTTGAGAAGCGTAGCTGCCTAGTTCTGAGTAGTTTTTTGACAGACTACAAAGTTATCAATTGTTAAAGCTTAGCCAATGCAAAATGAATTATTTACCCCGCTTAGGGTTCTTCGCAATAATGTAAACATGATTCGCAAGCTGATTAGTATATCTTTCTCTATACTTAGTGTATTTATCAACTTTTGTACATCGCCAACCTCACGCCTTGATGATAATAATCAATAAATGGCTGAGTGATCGACTCGGTGTAAGCAGTCAGGCTGGCGCTAGTTTTGTTTGATGACATTTTATTATAGTTTGCGCTACTGTGGGTGAAGTTTTGTTGTATTAGATTGTTGCGTTATGCGTTATGGTTGTTTATTCGCTTCTAAGTCGTTCAATTGAAAAATGTATAACAAATACTTTTGAAATTTTATAAAATATTTCTCACCTAAGAGCCGTTAATTTTATAGCAAAATGTTTCATTTAAAATCATTATTCAGAATAATTGGGAGAGCCTTCTATAAATCTAGGAACTCTAGAAACTGAGCTGCTTAATTGCTTTTAGAAACATAGCAAAAGAGATAGAGAGAGAGAGAGAGAGAGAGATTGAGAAATTGAAAATTTTAAAATGAGTACAAATTTGAATATTGTCAGCTGACGTATTTGACTATTGTTTCGTAATCCATCATAACATAACAACCCATTTATAAATGCTAAGCATATATATAAAAAAAAAAAGCATGTAAATGATAAGACGGCATTCAAAGTAATTACGAGCAAAAAAAAAAAAAAAAAAAATTTTTTACCCAATAAAAAAAAAAAAAAACTAAAAAATATAGAAAATTTTGTTTTTTTTTTTTTTTTTTGGAATTGTTTGTTTAGTTACAAAATAAATCCACTAAACAACGAAATTAATTTTAGTTTAAAGTAAGTCAGCGTGAAGTTAAGAGGCATTTATTATATGCGCAGTCATTGTTTTTTTATTTTATGTTTAACATACTTTATGAAAATGTTAAAATAAATAAACAAAAAGAAAAAAAGTAATAATTTTAATATTAAATGTAACTATTAATAATGATAATGATGTCGCAATGTTACTTAATCAAAAAACAGTTAACACTTAAAAGAGATGAAAGTTCATTTAATCATTGCGATCATAAACAATGAAATTTGGAATTAAATAACTTTATAGTTGTTATTATAATACTTTTTAAATTATCTTATAATAATATTCAAAATTTGGGCCAAATTAAAAGCTAACGAGTGACGAAAATATTATAAATTATCAGTTATAGTGAAATTATATTAAAAAAAAAAAAATAAAAAATAAAAAAAAAGAAGAAATAAAATTAATTGCTTTAAAAACAACATCAATGAGTAAACAAAGTGAAACGAAACAATTTTTTTTTGTTTTTTTTTTAAATTTTTCTTTGAAAAACAATATTTATATGCGGACACATGCACCGAAAACAAAGGCGCGTAAATACATTGAGTGAGGCACTTAAATAGAACCATAATCGCTTGACTCAAAATTCATAATAACAACGGTTAACGAAATGTGAACGAAGAGTTAATTAAATTTCTTATTTAACGCCAAAAACAAAAACTTAGAACATTGTCCGCGATATCAGCTTTAGCCATCTGTGTTAGATAAACCAAAGCATATTATTGAAAAAATGTAGGACAGTATCTGAATCACCGCAAAAAACTTATGATAGAGAGAAAAACAATGGTTATCTGTTTCTTTTCAGCTTTCATTCGATATAGAAAACCGTGCCTTTGCACCGCGAAACGTTGGTTTTGATAATTTGCTTACCAGTACAAGTAATTAAATAAAGAAAATATATATAAGAAAATTACATTCGTCTTAGGGCGATTTTTGATGCTCGCTATTTTAAACCAATACTTATTCGTATTGCGGAGCTTCTTTAGTAAACGTGGGTTGTCGACAGAATCCAGTTTTAAGATGCATTTGCAGAACTTGTTGCTTTAACTTACAGCTTTCAGTTATAGTGAGCTGTTTTGTGGCCGGATGGTCCTTTACCGAAGAATGAAGGATTAATTAATTTCAGAGATCTCATAAAGTGTATATATTCTTGATCACCAGCAAATTCTGAATCGATTTAAGCATGTCCGCCTGGCCAACTGTGCAATGTCTATTGTGACGATTCTCCTGGCCGCAAAAGTGAAGCTATCTTCACTTCAAATTTAGCAGAAAAATTGGAAGTCTTTGCCTGCACATTCGACGGAGGAGATACGCCCACAACACCAAGTACACTGACAACACCTCTGCTATTCATAGTATTAAAAAATTGTTTTTTTTTTGCTCAGTACCTATAAACTACAGCAGATAAGTCTACCAAAATTTGAGCGCATTTTCTATAAGTGAGGCTGTAGTACAAGTAAAAAATGGGAAAAATTGAACTGAACCCCATCTAATATTTTATAATAGTGTAGCAAAATTTAATGTTTTCTTCTCAATATCTTTAAAAAGCGCAAAGGCAATCTTCAAAAATGCCATAGAGTAAATAAATTCTTGAACCGTTTCAAATTTGGAGAGTGCATAAAAATGGCCGCCTGTTCATCTACCGATCTGTTTAACTGTGCAGTATCTGTGGTACACATTGTCCCTTTCGCAAACTGCGAGGATATCGCCTACGAATCCGCAAAATAATTTGAAAATTACCTAAGCCGGTCAAGGACCTAAAGGCATAAGACAATTTAATTCTTTTCCTTTTCTTTAGTTTGTTTTAGAATAACGGTGATGGGTGTGTAAGATTCGACCATGACCAATTATAATTTTCTTACATGTTTTTATATTCACAAGTCATTTTGTGAAATAGTTTCGGAAACTCAAAAGGAAGCTTCGGAAAACCTCTAAGTTATTCACTTTGGAATTGATTGGAATCGAATTCTAAATCGTTTTAGACATGTGTGTCCGTCCGTCTAAATGTCTGTATAACAAATATTCTCTCGGTCACGCACATTAAGATATCTGGTTGACATTCGGTGTAAGCGTTGAAAGTTTCTCGTTTGCACTGATCGAGGATGAATACTCTGCAGATTACATCTAGTTATTATAGAAGAGAGGCGGAACGACAAGGAGACATATGTAGAGACTATAAACATATATACAAGTATATGACTTCATTTCCAAGTGTTATACTAAGAAGGAACTATAGTCGGGCTAATTCTGTCATTTAATTCAGTTCAAGTTTAAAATTTCAGTAACGTAGTTCCACTTGTGCATCCAAAATGCTGTACGCGTATAATCAGCAAGCAACTAAAAAACAAAATCATTTTTTCATACATCTAGAGTATTCGAGACTTCTCCCTTACTCTCTCATACTATGAAGAAACAACAGAGCGAGAGAGTTGCGAGTAAATAAAAACGAATATAAACAAAAAACGTATACAAAATATATATATATAAATATATAAAACTTATGCAGCAAATTACAAAGCAAAAAAAAAAAAGAATCAGTGTCGGCGAAAGTACGTTAAGCTTGAAGAGAAAAAAATTATGAATGAAAGAATATTTCGTCAATAATCTTGAACTTTAAACGTCTTGACGTTAACTCAAAACACTTTTGATCTTTAAGTTATAAACAAGCGAAGTATTCAGTAAAGTGTTTAGCGTGAAAAGTAAGTGAAAAATATTGACATAGCAATCTATTGGATAATAAATAAAAAGTAAAGCCATGGCCAGTAAGCTACCATGCTCCGACGAAGCTACCTCAAAGTTAGTGAAACAACACATTCAACAAACCGATGAAATCCCTTTGAATATCATGGCCAACGCCAGCGGAAGCAATGAAAACGCATTACCTTCTTCAAGCACAAATCTTAAACCGTTATTTCCGCACAAACGAAGCAACCTGCGTTTAAACATTGCTTGCACCCATAGAGCAAATAACACTGATTATAATTTATCGCCAGTGGGAATCGCTGATAGCGAGTGTTCGACATCCTCATCAAGAACAACAACAACAACAACAACAACAGGGGAAAGTGCAGCACATCCGACTGAGATAAACAAGACTATCAATCGTTTGAATATTGGCTTTGATAACTTGCGCTATTCTAAGCGTACGAGATTTTTTAGACACGGTAATTACAGCCTTATCTGCGTCGTTCCTATAGTTAACTGTTTCATTTTTAATTTTATTTTTTTTCCGACAAGTTCATGGTTTTTATAATTGATATAATTGTTTTGTTTTGATATTAAAACTGAAACGGGATTCAAGTACAATTTATGAAATTATCCGAAAGCCAGATATTGGATTAGTAAGAAACAAGTTCCGCGCTGACATCTACATATTTTATACTTAGTACGTGTGTATGTATGTTATTAATGACCATTAAAAAAAGCCATAGAGATTTTTATTTCTTTTGATTTTGTCAGTGAATTCGAAACTATTTTTGCCTCGTTCTAGTAGATACTTCGGACAAGTAGTTCCGCAAAACATTGCTAAAGGTGAGAAGTATTGGAAGCATTTCTTCCTCTTGTTCAGTTTTCTTCAGTTTTTTATCAATTTTTTTTAGTGCCTTTAGGTAAATTTACTTATTATGATTTGCACCCTTCCAACCGTACCTCTCAGAAGCACAAATACGACATACCCCGCATATTGTATCCTTCCGATCGTCTGCTTAATGCACGTAACCCATCGTTCTTTTAAATAAAGAATTAACATAAGTGACGAACATTTAGGAACAAAACTTTATTGTATCCTTTCGCTTGCAAATTTCTACCAAACTCGCAGAAAAGAAAAGAGCAAAATATGTCTCTGAGCAATAATCGATTTCAAGACATTTGCAAGACCTGGAAGGAAATTTCAAAGACTTTATAAAGTATATAATGTATATCGTAGATTAGTATCAAATACTAAGTCGATTTAAGCATACTTTGTCTGTCCCTCTGACCGCTTGTGCAACGTCTACTGCAAAAATTGTCCCGGCTGTCAAAATGAAGCTCTTGGCTATAATTGTGCCAAAAACATTGTACGTTGACGAATGGCGAAGTCCATTAAAGGGCCTACGATACCACGTAAACTGAGGGCTCTCTCTCCCTCTCTCTGATTTTGAAAGGGATAAAATTGTTTCCTTTGTTCTTTATTTACAAACTACAGCAGATAACACTATACAAGTTTGCACGTGTATTCTATGGGTGATCATATACTATAGGGTGCATAAGGAAAATTAACAAACAATCGCCCCCCCATCTGGGTGGTTAGCCGTGCTTTTCTAATATCAAGTTTGAGGAAGACACTGAATATTCTTCCACGCAGGTCGGCATTGAAAATGACCCAAATTGGTCAAGGTGAACGCCTATAATGCAAAATGAAACCAAGAACACTTCTCTTCTCCGAGTCTTTCGCTGATGATCCGAAAATTAAATAAAATGAAATTTTCACGTATATTTCGTAAAAATGGAGAAACTCAATAACACAATCACCTAATACTAGCAAATGTGCTGAATTGAATATTGATTTTTTAGCTGTTTGTTTTTTTTTTTTTTACCATAAAAATGGAAGGTACAAAGGATTCGGCATAGATGAGATGAATTTTCGTATTTATTTCTGTATGACTTTCTTTACAGATAACCTAAACAGCAACAAAAAGATCTTGCAGAGTGCAAATGCACTTAAATTGGCATAAATGCACGTGTGTGGTCTTGTGAGTTGCTATATACTACAGTATAAAAATAGTTTGATTTGATTAATTTTTTTTGTTCGTTCATTTACAATAATAATTCGAATAAATTTGAATAAAATCTAAGCTTACATTACTATATAAATGAAAACAAAATGTTTTAATTAAGAAAAAAACAAAAAAAAAATTTGAAATTCATTAGAATTGCATTGGCAGTGAATAATTAATTTCATTTGATTTACTTTGAATTTTTTGATGCTCATCATGCGCATCATACTGCATGTAAAATGCTAAATATATTCTGTTCAATTAGAAACAGATTAGACGACAGTCCTAAAAGACAGTCCTTAGACTTTGATCACAATTCATATAAATGTTTGCCTCTTGCTAGCAAATATTTGCGAGTAACTAATGCCGCCTTTTTAGAGGGTTCAAAGAATGCTTACAACGTACACTTACAACAGAACATACCATACATGCATACCTCTATTCGAAAAGCAATGCTCTTGATACATGCATATAATAAATATATTAATGCAAGAACTGCCGACGTTTTGTGTATATCTCGCAGTTTTATCGCATCCCGCGATAGTCTCTTATCATCCCCTCTTAGCCCTTCCATTTGGCACTTATTCAGGTTGATGCAGTCACATTTAGCAAATGATGGATTAATGGCTATTTCCCCTCCAAGCCGGAAGGCATCCATAAGCTACTCGATAAATGGCAAAAGACCGCAGAAAAGAAGAGAAAAGAGAAAGAAGACAGATAACGATTTTCGATATTTCAATTAACAAGTTTTGTAACAAATATATTTTAAGTAGAGCTGAATTTTATCAAAAAGCGGTAGGAATTTATTTATACATCTATTAAACATTCGTCTTCTAAAATCCTAAAGTCTTTCAAAGGTACATAGAAAGCTAAAACCTAATACAAATTAAAACTGTAAATATTATAAAAACCAGAAAATCTAAAAAGAAAAACAAAAAAAAATTAAAGATGATTTCATGTTAGTACTAAAGGGGTAACAATCTATGACAACATGTCATCATGAAAACTTTTATAAAAATGTTGAGTGTAGCTCTTCGAAAATGGAAACATAGTTCCGATCACATTCACAATTAAGAACAAATACATATATGGCGCGCTTAGGCGAGTTATTCGATGTCCTCGTCTTAAAAAACTCATTTCTTGTTTTTTATTACGTCATACACATCGTCAAAACAATTCGTTCAGAGTGCAAGTAAAAGTCGATTGTTAATAAATTAAAACGTTTTATACTCTATTCAACAGAAACCAAGACTATTCTAAATGGTTTGACGGGGCTTTTCCAGGCTGGTGAATTAACAGCGATCGTGGGCCCATCAGGAGCCGGTAAAAGTACCTTTCTCAATATACTTTCAGGCTATACGTAATGTAACCCTTCGTCACAGCTAATTGAATAAAAATTATTTAATATTATTAAAAATGTATTGCAGGACTTTTGGTTACAATGGCGAAGTGACTGTTAATGGACGACCGCGTGATATGAAAGCATTTAAATCGAATGTAGCTTTTATAACACAAGATACAAGCTTGCAGCCTTATCTGACAGTAAAAGAGGCGATGCATTTTGCGGCAAATCTTAAAATCGGTACACATTTGAAAAATTTCAGCAAACGAGAAAGGGTCAGTAAGCGTCCTGCTAGTATTGCATAAATTAAACCTTAAAGTTTTTTTCTTATAAAAGATTAATAAAATCTTAGAAGCGATTGGCATGTACGAAAACCGTAATACGCGTACCGGTCAGTTATCAGGTGGGCAGAAGAAACGTTTAGCCATAGCCATGGAATTGGTTAACAATCCACCCGTTTTAATTTTGGATGAACCGAACAAGGTACGTTATGCAATTAAGAAAGTTTTTTTTTTTTTTTGTATGACTTAAGAGTAATTATAAAAATAATTTGCTAATTAATTTCATGAAATATAACTAGCGGCCTTGACAGTTCCACTTCGAAGCAATGCATCTCTTTATTAAAAAAGTTGGCTTCGGAAGGACGTACTGTTATCTGTACTATACATCAGCCGAGCGCTTTGACATTTAAACTTTTTGATCATTTATACGCCATAGCGGACGGCAATTGTATTTATTCGGGTGGCATTGATAATTTACTCGTTTTTTTGAATGAATTAAATATTCCATGTCCGGAATTTTTTAATCCAGCAGATTACTGTAAGCCATCTTTAAACGAAGCATTTCTTACTTTCAATATCCTTTTAATTAATTAAACATCTATTCATGAACAGTAATGGAAATAGCTACCGATGATTATGGTCCACAAAATGATAAGCTCGTGCAGAAAATTCAAAACGGACGCAATAGTAAATATAGGCAAAGCAACGCATCTAACCGGATGCAATTGGAAGCAATGCAAACAATTGGTTAGTGAGACTAATGATGCATTTTCACATCTTTTAGCGAATAGTGATAAGCCACAAAAATTGTTACGGAAAATGCCATACCATTGGACTCAGGTTTTTGCAGGATAGCGTAAATATTATTCAAATTACTTTTCTTAGTAGCCCGATTTACAAGGAAATTATTTACGCTTAATTAAAGAAACGGAAATTTCATCGTTTCACAGTGATTTACTCTAGTGAGTTCATATGCACACGAAAGACTTTTTTCTGCAAATATCACGATTGATTGATTGATTTTTACGTTCAGCAAATTTTCTGCTTATATACCTTTAAAAACTAAACTTTAATATAGAGCTTAATTCCGATACCCCTTTGTTAACTGTTTGACATTTTGAGCTTCCCGGGAACAAGGAATGCTATTTAAGATAATGACTATTCGGAACACACCCTAGGATAAGATAGTAATCCTTATACACTTGCCATCGACATATGCAGTTACGTAGGAGTTATTAGTTCAATAACACTCAAAAGTACCCGTGAAAGGTTCTATAAAACATTTATTCTATTAATCGATATAACTTTAGATCGAATAGTTAAACTTGTTACATCATCCCTTAGACGTTCAGATAATGAAAAAGAAAAAAAAACTGGAAAAGTCAATCTTCTAAAATGTTTCCGTCAATAGCAATCAATCTTCAAGCAGCTGTTAAAAACTGCGATTATTCTTAGTGATAGATTCCTAAAATTTGTTTCGAATGGCTGCGGTATCAAAAAATTATTCCGTCCCTTTGTTTGAGCCACACTGTAAAGAAAAAAAATTTTTTTAAATCAATTTAATTATGGCCTCTGAGCTATCGCACAGAAATTATTGCTTTTTAAACATTTGAAGCTACACGTCTACAATAGATCATTAAAGTAGTTTAACAGATCAAGTTGGAAAGTCTGATCATGTCGTGTTTACACCATTACTAGGTACATTTTACCATCCGTCTACCGATCGGGTCTACAAAATGCTCATAATCACGAAAAAAGGTTGAAGCTTGAGGCTTGTGGCTTGAGGCTTGTGGCTTGAGGCTTGAGTCTTGAGACTAGTAAAAATTTAAGCTGGCCTGTTTTTTTTTTTTTTTTGCTCTATTTTAGATAAAATGATGTCTTCTGGTCTTATAACTCCTGTTAATGCTCCCGCACTGAATGCAGTACCTGCAAGGTCCGCGAAGAATGCTTATCGAAACGTTAATGATAATCCCGGACCTTCTCTAACGTCTATTAAGGAAACGCCAACAAATTTGATAACAAATTCGATTAACATATTGAATACCGCTACGAAACCGAAATTTCAATTCCATTCACCTAAATTGTGCAGACATCAGAATATCTATGCGACGCCATTCTATCACCAAATAAGCATTTTATTGATTCGAACATTTATAATATTATGGCGTGATCGATCTTTATCTGCGATAAGATTTGCAATTAGTTTCGTTACCGCCGTCTTGATCGGCTGGCTGTACTATGGTATTGGCAATGATGCCGGGAACGCTTTGAATAATTTTCGCTATTGCTTTTATTCCATAATGTTTATAATGTTCACAGCCTTTTCTTCTATTTTAGTGAAATGTAAGCGACAAGCATTAGTAAATAGCGAGAAAACATGATCTTCATCAGATTATTTGTTTATTTTAGTTCCCTTAGAGTTACCGATTTTATGCAGAGAACACTTCAACCGTTGGTATTCATTGAAAGCATATTACATAGCCATGACTTTGGCTGACATTCCTATGCAATTATTATGCACAAGCATTTATATTATTATAACTTATAAACTAACTGATCAGCCAGCTGAATTATTTCGTTTAGTATTATTTTGTACGATTGTGTTTCTAACAGCATTGGTGGGCCAAAGTATTGGTTTGGCTATTGGAGCTTCATTAAATATCAAAGTAAGTATTTGCTTACTATAAAAACACAATACACAATTTCTATTATATATCTGGATTACATTTTCGATATTTCAGATCGCTGCTATTTTGGGGCCATTTCTGCTTTGTCCTTTTCTTATGTTTTCCGGGTTCTTTCTGCAAGAAAAGGATACATCGCGAGCATTAAAATGGCTATTCAAAATTTCATTCCTCAAGTATAGCTTTGATGGTTCCGTATTATCGATATTTGGCTTTGAACGCTCTCATCTCCCCTGTAAGGATATCTATTGTCACTATTCAAGACCGAGATCCCTTCTGAAGGATGTTGATATGCTGGGCGCCAACTATTTGACATCTACAATATTTTTAATCTTTATATTTTTAAGTTTACGTATTTTATCATTTTACATTATGTCATTCCGTTTAAGATTGTTTCGATGAAATGCGCTCCTCTCTCTCTCTCTCTCTCTCTCTCTCTCTCTCTCTC